CATGTGGATGCATATATATATATATATATATAATGCCGTTGTGTGGTTGCAGGTGGGGGCCTCCTCAGGGGCTGAGGGCCCTGAGTCTGTTTTTGTCGTTGAGTGCACTAAAGACGGTGACGTCTGGCGCTCGGGAGTGCCTGTGAAGTTGAGGAATGCTTTTCTGGACTCGAATTTGCAGGCGTCTCAGCAACACATGTTCGTCGCATTGCATTGCTTTTTCGTTGTTCTGTGTTCGTGCTTTTGTGGAAATCAACAGTAGAGATATATTACAGAAGTTTATAATGCATTTGATGGGTCATCGAGCTGTAGAAAGCTGTGAAGAATCGATTTAGTCCCCTATGGCGGCCTTGACCTTTCATCATCGCTGTATGCTGGTTGTATGTATTGTTGTGCTCAGTGAATATTCTCAATCCTTGGGCTGACAATGCTGTTATTCTTGCCATTGTGTTTGCTTTCTCCTTTTACCCCTTTGCTCATTATCTGGCCTGTATTCTCTTGGTGGTGCTTTGGTGTTCAGGTTCACGTATAACAACTGCGGGAGGGGCTGCCCGATAGCAAGTCATCTCGAGGTGTCGGTGGTGAAGTCGCGCCCTTCGTCTTGGTCTTGGAATAAACCGGCAGACAGCTGGGTGGCTCAGCCCCAATTGTTGTTTTTGGCAGAAGGAGAAGCAGCAGAAGCTTCAGCACGCGATGAGCTTTAATATAAGACTCCCGACCCCTACTGTAGTTAGTTACGTCAGTACGGCACTTACGGACTGTGACGACACAGCCCCGTGCAAAGGTTGTGTGTATTTCTGCATTCGTTGTGATGGGCGCAAGATCCGCATCTTGGACATATGCTTAGCAGTCAAACCCCTTCTGTTGTTTTTAAAGCCGCGTCCTAGGCGCGTATAGCGTTCAGCGGCATCAACCGTTCGCTTCTCGGGTGATGCCACCATCAGCAGCTGTGTCCAATTCCTACATACGACAGCCATCCCGTACAAAATAGGAAGGAAAAAGTGTATTTGCATTAATAGGCCTTCACAGGCACACTTTCCCCATCACAACGAGGGCTTCATATCCTACATGACGCCGTACAGCTGCCGAAACCCCATAGGGGCCTGAAGTGGCTATAAGACCCCTGTGTATCAGTGAAAATTCACTTTGCTTCAAAAGCACCGACACCTCAACAATTGTATTTCTGTTTCTTTGTTAAGCACCTGTTGCAAACTACGCACTGTCAGGAGCAGACGCCGAGGGACCTTGCTAAGGAAGAAATACGCATCCAGCACACTTCTGTATACTTTCTTTCAGAACTGCATCAATTCGCAGGAACTGTGCTGCATACGTTCATTTTTGTGGCTGGAATTTCTTAGGGATGCCTTCAGATATGGGACTGTAAGAATGCACCACTCCAGGAGGAGTGCATCGAAAGGCGGAACTCGACTCCAGTCGAGTTAAATAGCCACTGATTCAATGACTCAGTTGAAGGTTGCACCGCGACCATGTGAAATGCTCAGTAGTTTTAACGCTGCTTTGCTTCCCAGTGCCTTGAACGGGTATTCGTGCACGGCATTGCCAGAAAAGCAACGGCGAAACGCGGACGACACTCACCTTATGAAGCACTTCCGAACACAGTAGACCGCAAGTGTACTAGACAACAAATAATTGTATCGCTTCATTCTTGAAAGTGTGTACCATCGGACAGGAGAAAGCTCCCCTAGGTTACGGTTTTCCATTTCTCACAATGCCAACAACATGGTTCGTTGTTCTCTTTTCCATATTTTTGGCAAGTAAAGTGGGGCACGCTCAGTATTCTTGTCTGTCAGTTTTGTCCCAGCCTGAATTTGTCGGATCCTACGTTCCTCTTCCGTCTTTTCTTCAATCCAAACCAAGTGTAGTTATATTCATTTGGTTAATACCGGGTGGAAAGCTAGTGGGACTTGTCATTATCTCACTGTGTTACTCTAGGTTCTGCTAGCCACATTACCACCTTTACCTCAAAGAAAGGTTGCTCAAATTAGTTACACTTTCACTAGTTACGTTTTTACATTTAATTAGCGTATTCAGATCTGTTGAGCAACGAACTACGGACCCAATGGAACAGCCCCAACTCATGTGGCACAACCTCTTCTTCTGGGAGCCAATAAGTTTCAGAGTACGGCATCATACGATAGTGCCACTACTAGCACAAACAAATGTACGATAATATGCTTTGAAGATCCAATCAACTGGAAGCACACCAGGGAAAAACACGAACATAGGATAGCGCGTGAAGACTGGGTTGACATGGAATACGAGCTTTATACAGCTCATCAAAGAGGTATACCCATCTAAATTAACCCCAACACGTATTTGAACTTTAAAACCTGCTCAACGATGCATCATACATAGTAGGGGTGTTCGGTTGCTAAGTAAAGAACACAACCTGCTGCTACACAAGTGTGGCTTGTTTCTCCTCTCTTCCACTCCTTTCAGCGTCTACAAGTTGAAGCGTGTATGTCAGCGTTTTACACTTGTGACTCCTCAACTGCGTTTATGCATAAACATGCTTAGGCCTATAAGTGCGGGTCTGTACATTCGTTGGAAATGGATACAGCTACGTTTCCGAAGTGTCTATGCAAGCCTCACTACAGTGTGTTGCTTCAAGCTGTTGTTAAATAGTGTGTTTAGGGGGTGCTAGCTCACGCGCATGCCTCATTTCGCTTCACCGGGTCTCGTCCATATCTGCATTGGGCACTGGCCGAATTATTTTGGCCTTAACCGACGCCATGGCGCGTTCTTGCTGCCTCAGGCCTGCAAGGAGCTTCGCATGTCAAGGTGCAAGATAGTCTGTTTGTTTCATTATTCACGAGTGAGCGACAGAGATTGTCTGTTATATGTGCACCCAGGGTAGTTTGTACTATGCATGAATCGCAGATATGCTGTTCAATACATGTTCGAAACCCTAGTACAGCTTGGTTACTCGCAATATTTTATCAACCGTTCACTGTTGTGAGGAGCCCGCGGTTCCTCTGGGCTTGTAAGAAACAGCAGAAAGCGCTAGTTTACGTAGATACTTGGATTCGCTTGTTTGGCAGTTACTCGCCCATTAGCATTGTGAGTCGCGGGGCCCTACGCATGATGAATTTCAACTTCAAGTGTATTCAGCTTTTCCCGTCTGGATTTTGTCAATACATCCAACATACGAGATGACCTATCAACGAAGGCATATGCCATCACGCGCGTTGGTCGCAAGCCTTTGCCAGTCTACAAATTTCCTACAGAATTGTGTCCACGCCAATCCAAATTTGCATTGAGCTTCACTGTACAAGAATGTGCACTTACATCTCATTTTCAGTTTCCAGAGGCTGCACTAGGAGGGAGGGAGGAACAGTCCATTTGTCCACCAAGATGCAGTTTGTAAATACCTGTACATGGCTAGATGAGGAAGGTGACTGAATGTGTAGGCTTTTAATGCTGAAGACATAGGGGGCAGCAACCTATCCGAATATGCAAGATGCAGCAGCGCACTGCTTCGAAAATTGCAAGGGAAAAAATCTGCCGCCGCAGTAGCCCTTCTTGGTGTGATTGTACGTCATCTTCCCCTACGCCAAGCTACCCTATACTGTTACATACGTTAACGTAGTAAAAAAAAATCGTTACGCAGCCAAGGGGTTAAATGGGAGTTATTGCCACCAAACTGCGAAGACCGCCGTGTACTCTGTCTCCTTGGTCGATGATTGCCAAAGAAAGTATTCCGTTTCGACCACCACACGGAACCTTCAGCAACGGCAGGAACAAAGAAGACTATTCCGTGCCGATAACGGAACAGCATAAGTACCGCTCCAACCAGGGTAGAAATAAGTAGTCGAGCTTGTATCTTATTCCCTTCTTTCGGTGAATGATGCACCATAAACTAATATGAAATCGTTCAAAACCACTGAAATGCTCAAAAGTGAAAAGGTATGAAATATCGACACACGAACTTACACACGAAATCCGTTTCTGGGAAACAAATTGAGCCAACTACCCGCCTCCTCGGTTGTTTCATGAGAACGGCGAAGGAAATTATGGCCAGCTAGAATTGGTGCGTTTCACTAGAAACAGAAGCAAAATGCTTGGGAAAAGTTTGCACAACGCCTTGAGGCGTAACAGATTTGACATGATTGACAAAAATATTCAAAAATGGAAGAATACTAAAACTTTAAGTTGGTGCATGCGGGCAAACGAGGTATGCGTTCCCAAGACAGACGTTTTGGTGGCGATCATTTCGCTTATGCATGGGCTCCTCTCAAATGAGTGGGCATTGTTTGAGCATCAGTCGGTTGCAATATTGGAAGAATTTTGTAGAGGAACTTGACAAAGCATGCAGGCTCAGTGCTTGATGGTTCTGTGCTTGCAGGCTCAGTGCTTGATGGTTCTGTGCTTGCAGGCTCAGTGCTTGATGGTTCAGTGCTTGATGGTTCAGTGCTTGATGGTTCAGTGCTTGATGGTTCAGTGCTTGATGGAAGTCACGAACGTCCGAGTCACGAACTACCAAGTCACGAACGTCCGAGTGTGCTTGATGGTTCAGTGCTTGCAGGCTCAGTGCTTGATGGTTGTGTGCTTGCAGGCTCAGTGCTTGATGGTTCTGTGCTTGCAGGCTCAGTGCTTGATGGTTGTGTGCTTGCAGGCTCTGTGCTTGATGGTTCTGTGCTTGCAGGCTCAGTGCTTGATGGTTCTGTGCTTGCAGGCTCAGTGCTTGATGGTTCTGTGCTTGATGGTTCTGTGCTTGATGGTTGTGTGCTTGCAGGCTCAGTGCTTGATGGTTGTGTGCTTGATGGTTGTGTGCTTGATGGTTGTGTGCTTGATGGTTGTGTGCTTGCAGGCTCAGTGCTTGATGGTTCTGTGCTTGATGGTTCTGTGCTTGCAGGCTCAGTGCTTGATGGTTGTGTGCTTGATGGTTGTGTGCTTGATGGTTGTGTGCTTGATGGTTGTGTGCTTGATGGTTGTGTGCTTGATGGTTGTGTGCTTGCAGGCTCAGTGCTTGATGGTTCAGTGCTTGCAGGCTCAGTGCTTGATGGTTCAGTGCTTGCA